ATGCACACATAGAAATGATGTAAAACTTTCCACAGGAAGTTGCATCCTAGCAAGACAGACTATGGATCTATTTATCCTGAATTATCTGATCTCATTGGAAGTGGGATTCAAGGGTTTGATTTTGATTTTGGTACCTACCAAGGGATGTGTTTCTATGATGCTTGGGCTATGGATGGGTGAAAAAACCCTCAGTCTCCAAGCCTCTGAGGAAAAAAAAGAAAGAAAAGAGATGGGAGAGGAGAGGAGACAGAACTTCTTTGACTCTTTGTGGGAGTGCTTTGGGGCTAAGGGAAAGAATCTCAGCTGACAAATTATACCTCTTTTTCCTTGTAAAACAGCCTGAGGAATGACTAACATTTGTCCTGTTTCAATAACATTTTCTTAGTACCATATGAGCTTGGTCACTGCTGCATTTCTGACCAAGAGCAATAGGGATTCATCTGGTCAACTAGGAGTTGTGTTTTGTCATTTATTTATTTAAGATTGCTCTTGGCCTTTTTGCTTAGCATGTTCCTTGACATATCACTAGCATGTGCCTCATAGCTATTTGTGTGTGTGTGTGTGTTTCTTCCCCACCACACATCTTGCTTCCAGATAGCCAGCTGCTGCCACTGCTTCTCTTCCCCACAGCGCCTGCATTTTGACAAATTTGTATTTGCATTGATTTTATTTATCACATTTAAAAGTATCTGTCATATTTAAAAGTAGTTGTAATACAGACAAGTCACCAAAGGTACCCAACAATTAAAATTACAAGTCACTAATCTGTCATAAGCAGCGTAGCACCATGTGAGTATCTAATAATTCTAAATCATTTTTACAGTATCACCACTCAACATACTTGTGAAAGCACACACACACACACACACACATTTCCCTTGTTGGTTTGGATTTATTTGAAAATGCCCCAATTTTTACTTATTTATCACAGAACACTGGTTGTCTCCTTCTTTTATCTTTTCAGTGGACAGGATAGCTGTTAATGAGGTGTCATATTCCATATAACTTTTCTTGCATGTGCTATTTTATGTACCAGCTTAGAAGCCCCTAACCTCTTAGTATCTCTAACATCCCTTTAAATGAAAGACCCCTTGTCTCTTAGGAGTCCCTGTCATCTACATGCGCCTTGCCATCTAAAAACTGTGCAATCCATTTAGTCAAGCAGTGGGTATTTTTTGTTTAATGATTCCTCTGCATGTCTAACACAGTTTTCTCAAACACTAATGTTTTACAGAGGTCTTTCTCTAATGTGTAAAATGGGGTGAAGAGCCTAGATACCAGCACTTAAAGCTTTTGCTGTCCCAACATTAGCATTCTTCAGAAACAGGGAAGGGGTGTTCTTGTTTTTGCTTTCTTTCATTTATTTATTTTATCTCAAATAGAGCCCATTTAATGGAAAATTTGTGCATTTCTATTACACTAAAAAGTCATCAAAAATGAATTGATGTTGTAGGCAGAGCTCAGTGTTCAGATGGGATGGAAACAATACTACTTATCTCTCCATCTGTGTTTTCCCTATAGCAAAGTACAGTATTATCAAAAATCCACAAAACAGTGATATCTTTATTGGGTCAACCAAAACGCACATTATACATGTTGCAAGATTTCAAAATTACACTGAGTTAAAGTTTATTTCCTGGATTAAATCTCCCAGTACCCACATGGTCAGAAGGAGGAGAGGTCCACCTGCATGAATAACCTTCCATACCATCTGAAATGAGGTCAACAACCACAACATCTTGAACAAATGCAGGGCTATGACTAACATCATCCATTTTCTTTCTTTCTTTTCTTTCTTTCTTTTTCCTGTATCATTTTAAAACTTTGCTTGATGAATAAGCCAGTGGAGCTTTGAAAGCCTGCAATGTGTATAATGTGCATTTGGTCAGCCCAATAAAGGTATCACTGTTTCATGGATTTTGGATGATATTTAATCCAGTTTATGTCACTCTGTAGAATTAATGTAGTTTGACAAAACTTTAACTTCCATGGCTCTGTCCTATGTAATCCTGGAATTTGTAGTTTGTTGTAGCTCCAGAACACTCTGAGAGAGAAGGCTAAATAAGTCACAAACTACAAATCCCAGAATTCCATATCATTGAGCCATGACAGTTAAATCAGTGTCAAAATGCATCAATTCTGCAGTGCAGATGCAGTCTCAGTGCAGAATCTATTCCTCCAGGGCTGTTCCTTTGTCTCTGTTTCAATGTTCAAGAGAATAGACATTGTCATTTACACTACTGCCTTACATAGGAGGGAAAGTAGGTATGAAGAGAACATGTACCTGAACAGAGCCAGCCAGTCACAGCAAATACTGTGAGGGATGGGAGGTGCTATGTGGGAAAGACTATAAAACAAGAGGTTTGTCAATCAAATAGTCAGATAGGACCTATTAGAAACAGATAAAGAGTTAGGACTGGTAATAAAAAGGGTCAGTAAATAAGAGAACGAATCTTGGTTTGATGGGGTCTGAGAGTATGAAAATAGTTTGGGGAGAAGGACTACTTAATTTTAATGGATGTGTTACATTGTATTTTGCATGGAGCCAGCGTAATGCTAGATACTTAGTTTGTGTGTTATATAATAAATTGTTATTGTTTTGTTGTTTACATCAGTGCCTGGATATTTTTGTTCAACAATTATTGAGCAGAATGTCAGACCTTTCTAAAGGGAACTCACCAATAGATACCTCTCCCTGTCTGGGCCCCAAGAATCTGATCCGGGGTAAAACGATAAAAAGGCAAGGTGAGTGATAAAAGCTCAAGCGTTGGAACTGTAGGGCCAGCCTGTGGAGGGGAACTGTCACAGTCAGATAACAAAATTCCAAGGAAAAAAATATATATATTTGTCTAGAAATAATGTAAGTAAAGCAAAAATCCCATTCCATTTCAATGAAATGTAGAGTTCCCACAGTCTGCCTTTCAACACCAAACATTTCTTTGAAACACAACTTTCATTTAATTGCCTTTGAAGAGTTAAATAAATATCTGCACCTGTATGGTATGTGGGCTGAAAAGAGTTTGTGGTGTTTGTATATGTGTGAGAGCACACGTGCACGCACATACCTATGTGTCTTCTAGTCCAGACAGTTGTAAATGCCTTGAGTAAAAACACTGAGGACAGCTAATGGATAGGTTTATTTTAAAGCATGCCATCTGCTATCAATCATAGAAAAGTATAGGAAGCAAGTTTGGCTGTGATCCCTTCTTGCAAGCCTGATAAAGATAGGGATTCAATACTCTGGAACATTTAGTTCCCAGGAGAATAAAACATCAAACCTACTCAGCAGCTCCACTAACAAATAATAAAAATGCCTCTGCCTAAAGGTGACATTCTGAATTTACGATTATTTGTGTCTATAAAGTGTATTCCTTGGCTCCTGCCTCATTCTGACTGTCTCAGTGCAAGAACAATACATTAAGCCTTTCCTGAAGTTAATAGAAATCTTATACTTTTATTAAGCCGAATGCCAACACCTGAGATGCTCTCATGCCCCATAGCAGAAGAGGGACTCATCTCTGTTTTGAGAGGATATGACATGTCAAAAGATGAAAGCCACTGCAATTATGGACTGTTTCAGGGCTCATGCTCTCCACTCTCCCAGGTTAACATCCAAGTATGTAAATTCATTCAAATGACATGAATAGTAATACCTAACTTTTAGATAATTTGGATTTCAAGCAGAACAGAGCACATTGTGAGGGCTGCTAGGACTTGATAGTATTACAGGGTGATGCATAATCAGTCCTCACCTTGAATGACTGCCCTCACTCAGATGAGCTAGGAAGGGAGACTAAAGAATTGGAAAAAGCTCTGGGAGACTGCATATGCTACCCTGGTACAATACACACCCCTGTTATTGACACAAAATAGTTTGTGCAATCATGTCATATCTGCACAGGTTATTAGTATATCATGCTATTGTAATTGTTTTGCTCCAGTTTCAGGAACCTTTCATAGACTTAAAAGAATAAAGAATCAGTTGGGTTGGCTTCAGTTAAGTAATGTTCAGAAATTTAAGTAATTGTCCAAATGGAGGGAATTTCCCAACTCCAACACTCTCCACTGTAGCTTTGCACACGTAAAAACAGACAGGTATGAAGAGGTCAGCCCCTTCTCTTTGTGGAAGTTCTCACTACCAGCCAGAACCCTGGAAGTGAGGATTCAGACAATTATGGAAAACATAAATACATAAAAGATGCCCTGGGCTTTTTGCATGAGAGCTTCAACAATAGTTGAAATAAATGAAATAACAACAACAACAACAACAACAACAACAACATTGTAGGAAGGGCTAATGCCTACCTCTCTTCAGGTCCATCATGTATAATGTGTGATGGGTATTTCTTTAGTACGATGCATGATGTATTCATAGAATCCTGCCATGCAAGGATACACTATCAAAGCATTCCTGAGAGATGGTCATCCAGCCCCTGTTTAAAAACCTCATAGATCAGAGCCCTATTCCTCTTTTAGGTTAGGTGAATTACTATGGGCTGATGTAGATCGGCCGTTTGGGGTGGTACAGAGCCATCCTGGTTAGTGGAGGATCAGGACCACAGCAGCCCCACATGGTGGCCCTGGTCCTCCCTTTTGCCACCCCAAAAAGAGCAGCAAAATGCCGCTCCTTTTAGGGGCAGCAAAAGGCTGCCCTAAGAGCTGGCATCATGGCTCTTCAGTGCCCTTTCGGTGCAGCGTGTTTGAATGCTGCGCAGGAAGGGCGTCCTGGGAAAAGATGATTCATGGCCAGATGTTTCGTCTACAACTATGATCAGCCCTAGTTAGCACAGCCATAGTGGTTATGGGAGTTACAGTCCAAAAATATTTGGAAATTAGTTTTCTTTAAGGCCCTTTATTTCTAACTGTGAACCCCTTCCAAGTTGTTGTTGTTGTTGTTGTTGTCTTCATTTCAAGCTGTGGTGATCCTAGGGTGACCCTATCATGAAGTTTTCTGGGGTTGGGAATATATGACTTGCCCAAGGTCACCCAATAGGTTTCCATAGCTAAGCAGGGAATTGAACCCTGATCTCCAGAGTCATAGTCCAATCCTCAAACCACTATACCATGCTGCCCCCTTCCAACAGGGCATACTAAATACATCAACAACACAGTAAAAAAAGCACTAAATGCCAATAGTAAAATGACTTAAAATCAGTTCATAAATGATGGCAAAAATGATCAGCCCAAAAATGCAGTTCAAGGGAAAACCAGCAAAAACCAAGTAATCATTTAAAGCTCTTTTCAGTGAAAACATTTAAACATTTAAAATCAAAAACTCACAATTTTCCAGACTCAACAGTGCCATCAATTTGGAACGACCTGGTCTCTAACAGAAGCCTGAAGCATGACCTGGTTGGCATCTCCCATGTACCAAGGAATGGCAGAGCACTCCAGAATATGCATTCCTTGGAAAGATACAGATGCACAGATAGCCGTGAAGGAAAGGGTTGTCAGGTGAGGAGCATCTGATTTTCTGAAATTTCAGGATAAAAATCAGAGACCAGGGAAAGTGTCCAAGTGACAATTGGCTTGTCATGTCACAGGCAAAATAAATAAATAAATAAATTGAGAAATTGAGAAATTATTTTGACAACAACATGGCATGAGGGGAATCCAGATTAAAATCTAGCTAATTCAGCAATGCAACCTTGAGGCAGTGGCCAGGGGGATGAATTTCGGTGACCTTGCAGACAGAAAAATGAAGTAGCAGTTGCCACCATTGCTTTTACTCAAATGGCCTTATATACAGTACTCATACAGTGTCTCCAGGCCCCATGCTGCGCCTAGTGAAAACATCAACCCCAAGCATAGGTGGAGTTTTCACTACTCCAAATCCCTTGCCTTACTCTACTGCTGCATCAACTTCCAAAATAAGAAGACTCATGAGCTTCAATGCTGGTAACCACTCCTTGCCTTGTTCCAAATGGCACAATGGTCTTGAGTGGCTTCACTCACTGGTTCTTCTTCCCAATGCTCTCCTCCACTCCAGACTTATTGGTGCATTGATGTTCTGAAAGCACAAAAATCTCCAAACTGAGCCCATGATCCCTTTTACAAGCTGGGAATAGATGATCCATGGCCAGATTTCAAAGTCTCCTCTCACTCCAAAATTAAGTTTTCTTCTTTTTCTTCAATGCCATTCACTCTGATATTCATCTCCTTGACTGGAGACCCACAGGACCATGGTAGTCCTGTGAGACTTCAGGCAGAGGCTTGAAACATGGCAACCCTAGTGAATTGCCTGGGGAAAAGGAAGTAAGTCCACAAATCATGAAGTTAGGAATAAAGCAGATTCCTCGTGTTCTCAGTTAACATTTTTTCTCCTTTTTACCTCTTGGTTAGTCTTCCAAATGAGATGACAGCCACACAGAGGATGCCAAAAAACCACTTACCAATGTCAGTGCTCCATGTGGCTGGTGGCAAAGGTCCTTACTCTGTGCACTGCCCCATATGTATGCAACATCTGTACACTAACACCATGTCTGCTGGGATGTACATTGTTGGCATGCAAATGATACATTGGGGTAAGACCCTATTAAATGTGATGCTAGCCATGTGGAGCACCTACATATGCAAGTGCTTTTCAACAGTTTCCATGTGGCCATCATTTTTGTTTTAATTAGCTCTTAGATATGTGGCAAGAGGTGAATCACTAAGGGTAAACGAGATTCTGTCAGGAGGAATCACTGTTGTGACATGGAGACAGATGGCAACCAGCCCGATGAAAATTACATGAAAATATAAATGGTTAAGGCCTAGACAGGACTTTGCCAGGGGGAGGGGTATAATCTTGCAAGCCTGGTTACTGGTGCTTAGGAAGTGATGGTATAGATTCAGTTCTGAACAGTTCAGACAGATTTATTCATACTGTTTCAAAAATCTGAATTGGCAGACTAGAAATTTAAAACTTTTTTTTCTAAACCATCATCCAGTGATTTGTGTGCTGGGAAGGCTATTCTAAGTCCAAGCTGCTAACATCAGCCCTGTTTGCATTAGCCAAATACAACAGCTTTCCTCTGTCCTCTTGGCATGGAGACCAGACCACATGGCACAAAGTCTGGTTCTGGAGTGAGCAGACTGGATGAGTGCTGTCCCATTTAGCACCAGAACCAAGTTTTATCCCTCTTACTGTGGGTTTTCAAGAGTCCTCCTTTGATCTGGATCTTCTGGAAAGATCCGGATCCCCTATATTTTGATGCTGGGCAGCTGTTCCCATGCACATTCTGCTGAGCCATCCAGTGCATCTGCAGATTCTGCCAGTCACTCACTCTGAGGTCAGAACAGGGCACTCAGCCATGTGACTTTATCTGGGTGCCTCGTTCTGACCTCTGAGTGAAGTGACCTGCAATGCTGGCAGACATGCCAAGCAGTTCAGTGAGATCATAAAATCATAGAACCATAGAGTTTGAAGAGACCACAAGGGCCATCCAGTCAAACTCACTGCCATGCAGGAACTCAACATCAAAGAATCCCTGACAGATGGCCATCCATCTGTTTGAAGAAGGGAGTGTGTTCCACTCTCGAACAACTCTCCCTGTCAGGAAGTGCCTCCTAATGTTGAGGTGGAATCTCTTTTGCTGTAGCTTGCATGTGTTGTTCCGAGTTCTATTCTCTGGAGCAGCAGAAAACAAGCTAGTGCCCTTCTCAATATGGCATCCCTTCAAATATGTAAAGAGGGCTATCATAGAATCATAGAATCATAGAATCATAGAATCATAGAGTTGGAAGAGACCACAAGGGCCATCCAGTCCAACCCCCTGCCATGCAGGAACTCCCAAAGCATCCCCGACAGATGGCCATCCAGCCGCTGCTTAAAGACCTCCAAGGAAGAAGACTCCACTACTCTCCGAGGGAGCGTGTTCCACTGTCGAACAGCCCTCACTGTCAGGAAGTTCCTCCTAATGTTGAGGTGGAATCTCTTTTCTTGCACATCCTCTATCATATCCCCTCTTAACCATCTCTTCTCCAGGCTAAACATACCCAGTTCCCTAAAACGTTCCTCACAGGGCATGGTTTCCAGACCTTTCACCATTTTAGTCGCCCTTCTCTGGACATGCTCCAGGGCTTCAACATCCTTTTTGAATTGTGGTGCCCAGAACTGGACACAGTATTCCAGGTGGGGCCTGACCAAAGCAGAATACAATGGCACTATTACTTCTATTGATCTCATTATCCTTTTTAGTCTCTGCATCACACTGTTGACTCATGTTCAACTTATGGTCTACTAGGACTCCTAGATCCCTTTCACACATAGTCTGGTTAAACCCAGGTGTTCCCCATCTTATACCTATGCATTTTTTTTTTTGCCTTAAGTGCAGTACCTTAAATTTCTCTGTGTTGAAATTCATTTTGTTAACTTTGGCCCAGCTTTCTAATCTATTAAGGCCATTTTGAATTTTCATCCTGCCTTCTGGGGTATTAGCTATTCCACCTAATTTGGTGTCGTCTATAAATTTGCGAAGTATGCTCCCTATTCCTTCATTTAAAATCATTCATAAAGATGTTGAATAGCACTGAGCCCAGGACAGAACCCTGTGGCACCCCACTGATCACTTCTCTCCAGGATGAAGAGGAGCCATTGCTGTGCACCCTTTGGGTTCGGTCAGTCAACCAATTACTAATCCACCTAACAGTGGTATTGTCTAGCCTACATTTTATTATTTTGTTTCCAAGAATATTGTGGGGGACCTTAGTGAAATCAAGATATGCTATGGCTACCACATTCCCTTCATCTACCAAGCTGGTAATTTTATCAAAAAAAGATAGACCAGATTAGTCTGGCATGACCAGTTTTTGAGAAACCCATGTTAACTTTTATTGGTTATGGCATTCCTTTCTAAATGTTCAGAGACTCTCTGTTTGATGATCTGCTCTAGAATCTTTTCCTGTATTGATCTCAGACTTACTGGGCAATAGTTGTTGGGATCCTCTTTTTTCCCCTTTT